TGATTTGTGGTTCAAAGTTTTCAGTTACATAAGAAAATATGGAAAGTTTCTGATAAAGTAAATTTGGTATTTTCAATTGGGTTATGTAGTATTTTCAGTTTATAAATTAGTTTAGTAGTATAAAATGAAATATTTTGAATATGTAAGGTATTTATAATTTTTTCCCTTGTCGAAATAAGACTGTCCAAATCATTTAATCTTAAAATACCTCAAGTTTTCATTGTCGCCTCTTCGTATTCAATGCCTTTAATTTTACTGTCAAAGCAAGTAATTTTTTTTTTTATTTTAAAAGTGGAAAAGGTAAAACGTGTATGAAAATAAAAAATAAAAATAAATCACTTAAAAAGTAACTTTTATTATTCCTAAGCTTGACATATTTTTCATTTGTTGTTGCTATTGTTTCAATAAGCTTTTTACCCCCATTCCCAAACCTTATAAAATGAAAAATTGAGGCAGGGCTGATTTTCAAAAATTTATTGGTCATGCAATTCTTCTCTATTCTCTTTCCGGTTATTTTATTCGATTCAAAACTTTTCAACTACACGTCTCATTAACTTTTATCAAAATCTATAAAAAATCTAGCCACCGTTTGGTAGATATTTTAATTTAAGTCAAAGTCAACAATTAATATTAAATACACATTTTATGGAATCCACAATTTTTCAACCACACATTTTATAACTTTTATTAAAATCTACTAAAAATCTAATTTTAATTTTGATAAAAAGGGGCCTAATTTTAACAATTTTGCTATATTTATATCTTGATTGACAGTTTCGTTTATATTCCATGGTGTGACACACATTTTTGCCATTGATTTAAATAACACTTAAAATTATCAATGACCTCAATTTTTATGCATCATGAAATATCAACAGAAATGTACAAATAAAATTATACAAGTAGCCTAATTCTAATTTTAATTCCCATCAAACAAGGGCCGAAAGTAAAAGCAAATCAAATCAACTAGCATTTTATTTATTAAGCCCTTGTTTAACAAAAAAATTTGGGTAAGATGAAGTTTTGAATAATGAGTTTTTAGATAATGTATGATTAAAAGTAAAACAAAATTTTGAATTTACAAGTATAATATTTTATTGAATGAACGTGTGTGATGAAAAATAAATATATAGAATAAAAAATTTAAAATAATGATTATCAAATCGGAGCTTACCAAGAAGAGAGCATCTATCAAATCAACTATTAAGAAAATACTTAGAGGGTGTTTGGTGATGATGAAAATTAGATTTTTAGTAGATTTTGATAGAAGTTTTTGAAATGTGTGGTTGAAAAGTTGTGGGATTATGAAAGATGTGATTAATATTGATTATTTGATTTTGACTTGGTTGAAATCAGATTAAAATTTGGACCAAACGGGGGCTTAAAAAGCGGTACCGAAGCGCGATTATTAAATTTAAAAATGTTATTCCATTCTCAAGAAGGCAGAAAAGAAGAGACAAAACCAGTCGCCGAAGAGTGCAAAATCGAAGTATACCCTCCTTTAAGCCTTTGCTTTCTACTATTTCTTTCTCATCCATGGAATTTCAAGCATCTTCTTCCTGTTTGAGAAACGCAAGATTTGACCCTACTACACCTAGAGGGGGAGGTGATTAGGTGTAAATGCGAAATTAAAATTTAATTAACATGCAACGAGTCACAAGTTAATTATGTCTAGGTGATTAATCAAACAATTCAATTTAACCTATCTTGAAATACCGCAGTAAACCTTGTTCCATGGAGTCTTTCCATTGTATTTTCTTAATCTCAGTTTTTAAGATAGTATGGATATCTTGGGGTAAGGCTTGGGAATTATCCTTTGTAATCTCACATGATATGAACTTTTCTTGTGTTTGATTGGGGTTTTGGAGTGTGCAAGAAATTCTTGATGATTGCACAAATTTTTAATAGTGTAAGATATCTGAGTCTTTGACAGCCCGTGATCATTCTCTATTTGAAAGTTTTCATTGTAAACCTTTGTGGTCTTTTCTCCATGTGTTTTATATTTTTAAATTATTTTCTCCGAACGAAGATCTGTCTGCAAATTGAGGAATTAGACCCCAAAAAAAAAAATCTCTGCCGGATAGGTGACTTTGTATGGAAAAAAAAATACCTATTTTTAAATTTATATAATATGCATAAACAAAATATTTTGTATTCAATCATACAAAAAGATTGTTTTGTGTCAATTGAATAATAAAATTGTTAGGCAGATCCATAGATTCGATAATCATGATAAGAGTCATAAATTCTCTCTCCTTTGTCTTACATTAACTTTATACGCAGGCATGTATCAAATCAAAATAAGGCAGGTAACATCAACCCCCAACCCCCAATCAAATTCTTTCTCCTTTATAATTAAGAAAAATAAACTTTAGTCTTAATAAATTTGATAAAGATGACATAAATTTGTTAATTTATTTTTTGTCTATCAACTGCTATATATTCTACAAAAAATTTATTTTTCTTTAAATCTGGACCATATATTTTTAAAAATAGATCCTCTTTAGACTGAGTTACCATTTGTTCAGTTAAAATCGCACTAAACCTGGATGTGCATATGGTTAGGATCCTGTCATGTTTTGTTGGCTCGACAAACTTGACTTCTAATAGAGGAATTC